GACTATTTTAAAATTAAAATTTCAAATGACAAAAAATCCAACTATCTTTAATCTTATGAAACCTATGAATATTAATAACAAAGAGTTTATCATTGAAAAGCTATTAAATTAACTATTTTTTTTCTCATCTTCGTTCTAAATCACTTTATCATTTCTTTAATTTAGAGATTAAAATTTAAACAAAATAAATTTTTAGACAGAAATAAAAATATTTAAAGGCTACAAGGACACTGAAAGAAAAAAAATTGAAAAGAACAAGGACTTAATTTTAGATTGGCCATTAATTTTCTACCTGTCTTACCCCTTTTGTTCCAAATTTACATCCCCTGAATAATTTTTAACAAATTAGTTATTAATTTGAATATAAAAGTATATAACTAAAAAAAGAATTAAAGGATAAGTTTTTTTAAAAAAAAAATACTGTGATTCTGTGAATTACTAGACTAACTACCCCGTACTTTTTAAAAAAATACTGTCATGTGAATTACTAGACTAACTACCCCGTACATACAAACTTTTCCCTTATCTTCAAAGTGGCAAAACTTCGCTTTTCATTTCTTACTTAACATGGGCAAACCAAAACAGTTTTTTTTTTTAAAAAAAAAAACTGGTCACCACATACATTATCATGACCAGCTTGATTCAATTCAACCTTCCCTAGCGGTTAATTACGTGGTTCCTCTTGACTCGGAACCCAACAAAAGGTCCATGAGATCATAAACGACATGCGTTCCCTGCTGCTGGACGTTTAAAATAATTATAGTTTTAAAATCTGATCCGGCTTGATCGGTGGATTCAAAACTCAACTGTTCTGCGACTGAAACCAAATCAAATTTAAAAAAAATCAGTTAGGGGTTTGGTTAGACAAAACCCGGTTAATATATATATATATGAAAGTAAAACGTTACCGTTTTAGATATTTACCGTGAGCCGTTTGCAATATAAAAACAGAAAACCAAAATTCTTCAACTGTAAAGCCACATCAGTTGCTAAAAAGAGTAGATTAAAATCTGAAAATCCTTTTTTCCTTTGCTTTCTCCTCAAATCTGAAGATTTTTTTGGCATGCTACGAGGAGAGAGATGCATGTCAGGTGGTGGTGGTAAACGTCTTGGATTGATAGATAGATATGTTGGCGATGCAGAGTGAGTTTTTGTTGAGCGGTTGTTTGGAGAGGGGTTAGATCTTATGATGATAACAGCAATCCAATTTTCATTTGTGTGGGTGTGGATTATGTACTTTTGTAGTGAAAATTAGCGCACGTTAGCAAAGAAAGGATTTTAAAGGCAAAGAGTGAGGAAGATATAAGAGAAAATAAAATAGCGGATTTGTTGTAATTAAATGGAGGTGGTATATCAGAGTGATTGAGGAAGTAGCGCACGTTAGCCAAGCAGTGATCTTAGGGATAGAGGATAAGAGACAGAAATGACAGGTGCAGGAATAGAGGATAAAAGAAAATTAAATGGAGGTGGTATATCAGAGTGATTTTTTTTTAAACCAACCTATCTAACCCAATTATTATATCAGGATGATCACCAGGTTTAAAAACTATGCCAATAATGTACAGAGATGAAGCCGTTGGTGCAAAAGCAAAACAAAACGTTCCTTCCGAGTCAAGCGGAACCATGTAATTTTTCGCCTGTAACGGTAACAACTTCCCATCAGGAAAGTAAAACGATCCCGTTGTCACCTCCAGAAGACAAATTATAACACGTGTCAAACAACGATATCCATTTAGTTGATGGCCAGTCCTTCGTTCCCTAACAAACGCATCACTCAGGGAGTTATAAACGTCCGTTTGCAACTGAGTAATGGCCGTTCCCGAGTCAACTATTACTCCCCCATTTCCTGATTCATCGATTTGAAACGCCGACTCGGGAATCGATACCAGCTCACCACCTACACTCAGTCCCGTTAATCCAACGTAATAACGGAGCAGTGATGGTGTTGGGAGGGAGAGTTGAGTTAAACTCGAGAGTTGAAGCCGACTCGGAATCACGATCCACGAGGCAATAAGAAAATGACGTCGTAATGATCTCAGAAGGGAAAAGACAACGAGCCTCCTCCGAGTCCAAGCAAGCCAGCAGCTCCAATAAGCAAACCTTCATTATTATGTCCACAGCCGATACCCCACATTATCAACTGTAGCCGAGCCGAGAGTGATAGTCCCAGTAACAAAATCACCAACGGTCTTATATCCCCGTCGTAGAGACACGTGTCGTTCCGGCATTCTGACACGTCGAGGGACCTGCATTGCTTGGTGTTGCAGGTTAAAGGAGAGAAGGAAGCCGAGGTAGCCGGCGCGAAGATGGGGTCGGCTTGCTGGTAACAATCAGCGCAGGTGCGCACTGTACCCAGTTAACGTCACTGCCACTGTCGAGTATAAGATAGGCTTGACTAGCTGGTTTTCCGATTCCACCTCGGGAGAAGTACTCACCGCTTGTAGAGCCTTGACTCGTACTAGATATAACCGGGCTTTGTAGAGCCTCAGATTTGAATTCCGAATCAGTCTCAAGTGGTTTAAGATCTGAAGTGGAAAAAGAATTGATGGCTAGATCTAAACGAGTTAAGAGAGACTTGACTCGGGCTGAGTCGCGCTGGAGCCACGATAAGGTTAGTGATTTGTAGTCAGTGTGCGTGGGTTTTTGAAGGGAAGTTCTAGAATGCAGCTCTACCGTTAGTTCTGACAAGGTGGTTTCTTTCTCTTGCTGGTTAAACATGTGTTAGAAGAGAAAATGTTTTTGCTTTTTTGGATGGAAGAAGCGACGTCAAGGAATGTCGTTTTGGAGGGCTGTGGTGTTTGAGTTCGAGAGGAGGAAACAAATGGAGAAATGAAAAACAGGGAGAAGTGAGCGTAAAGGAGAAGCCCCATTGTAGCCAATGAGAGAGAAAGGGATAACAAGACAGAGTGGGAGTGAGAGAGGAAGGGAATGCTTGTGCTTGTGTGATATATAGAAGGGAAGTAGAAAGAGAGAAATCCTGAGTGAGCGGGGCTTTTAATAGCCTATTTGTTTATTATACATTTTAAGAATGTATTTGAAAGAATTCTATTTTTTATTTTAAATTATTTTTTTATATTTTCAAAATATTTTTTATGTGTTAGTGTTAAAAATAAATAAAATTATTAACTTAATATATATATTTTTAAAATATTTTAAAAAACAATATCAAATTTTCTTTAAAGGATAAATTTTAAAGAATCTTCGTTGCATGTTATGTAGATCTTTGTGGGTTTAATGAAAGAAACATGTCTTTAAATCCTGTCCTTGTGCGAGTTTGAGTTTTTAATTAATTAGTGTTTAATTGCAATTAGCATAATTTCTCTTGATGATTGCTTTTTGTGGAGTCCACTCTTTACTCTTTGGACCGCTAATGGGCTCTATGATTTTTTCTGTTGGATTGCACTATTAGCTGGAAGCTTTATGGCTAGAAGGGAAACGTTTTGGGCCTACGTTGTACCTTTTGTGGATCAAAAGATTGTCTTCAAGTCGTCTCTCTCGGAAAGCGTGTCCTGAAGTTTTGCACTCCTTTAATATCATTATTTCAAGCGTATCAGTGAGAGTAAGGTGCATGTCGGTTCAATCATTCTGTCTCACTTAATTATTCTTCAGTAATCTGGTGATGATACAATATAGTTGATATTTTTAAAAATATTTTTTTTAATTTTATAGAAAAATTACCTTGATTTTCTTAACATTAAAAAAAAATACTTTATCTTCTTTTAAAAAATTTATAATTTACATATAGTTCATATTTAAATTCTAATAAAAATATCTCTAGACTTTTTTTTTCTTCCTTTTTCTCTACTCCTGCCTCTTTGTCCTCTCTTCTTTTTTCTCTCTCTTCACCTTAGCTGACCAAACTAAGGTGAATGGAGCCCCATCCATCCTTTTCTCCTTCCTTTTATTTCCTTTCTTCATTACCAAAACCATCAAACCCGCATTGTTAAAATTAAAATCAAATCACAAACCCTCATTTAAAATTAAAATCTCTAATTTATTAATTCAACTACGTTTTGGTGCCTTTTCTTTCTCATTTTTATGTCTATTTTTCTTTAGTTTCCTAGTTGAGTGAGATTTGAATTTGAGGATTGATAAGTTAAATTTTTTATAAATAATTTATTTTTAATTAAATGAGTTTGATAAATATATCAAAATACTTGAATGAGCAATTTTTTAAGTTCAAAATATTTATACTTAACAAATAGGTCTAAGATAGTATAGGTCTCACTGACAAACATGCCAGAATCAATACATATAAATTTAGCAGCTAAATTTAAGATAACATGGGTTTGACAAATATATCATACTAAAAAAACTATAACATTACTAAATTTTAAGATTTTATGATTGATCTTAGACAATTCTTTATACTATAAATATTAAAGACATAATAAATTGTCATGTTTCTCTACATAAAATAATTGCTTATATTAAAGTAATAATTTTCTTATACTTGTAGATATATAA